CCCGGGGAGCAGCCGCCAGCCATGCCCGCCGCCGAGCCCGAGCACAGCCCCGCCGAGCCGCAGGCGCCTGCCGCCGCCGAGCCGCTGCGCCGCGGCCGCCGCAGGAAGGCCAAGGTGGGAGCACCACGTGCGGCCGCGGGGGCGGCCATTTTGTGCGGGCTTTGGGGGGCTTGGTGTCAACTCGGGGCGGGCGGGACCGCGGGGAGCGGGTTCCTCCGGGTAACGGCGGCTTTCCCGCGGCAGGACGAGGGCGCGGAGAGGAAGGTGAAGCGGCGCGGTAAGGCCGAGGGCGAGCAGGCGCAGCCCGAGGAGAGCGGGCTGGGGGATGGCGACCTCGAGCCGCCCCTGTCCAAGAAGACGAAGAAAATCAAGGAGAACAGCAGCGGTTTGGTGGGAGAGAGCGACGTCGCACAGCACGCCCTGGAATCTTCCTCCACTGCGAGCGACAGCGGGACAGCCCCGGCTGCCCAAGGCGGGGCCGGCGGAGAGCAGGACAGCGACGCCGAGGTAGGGATGCTCTGGCAGCAGAGCCCTGGTCTTGATTAATTAGCGTCCTGCTGGTAGTTAGTGAGCTACCTACTGGGCGCTGTGTGGAGACTTGAGGTGCGAGGGCTGTGGGAGTGTGAGGCAACTGTCCTAGGCAGCTTATTCCGCTGTTCCACGCGTCGGGAGTGCCCAGCATCCTGCCCCTCATCGTGCCTGTTCCTGCGGGGCTGAGTGAGGCGCGGCAGCACATGCACCTACACGTGGGAACTGGCTCTCCACGTGCTTTCCCCCTCGCGGTGGATGCCGAGTGTTTGGAGCAGCGTGTCCTGCAGTGCAGGAGGCTGGATAGCAGCGCGCAGTTCCCGTGTGCTCCTCACCTTCGTGTCGCAGCTTGTTCTGTGTCTCGCAGCATAAAGGTTTCTCCCTGCAGCACGGGCAGTCACCATCCCAGAAACGTGCTTTGTGCTGTGACGGCACTTTCTCTGCTGGCAGGACGTCTGAAGAAGTATTTGGCGAGGTGTCCTGTAGGGGAAGGTTATCCACGTTAATTCCCATTTCATCTGTGGCTTCGCAGATACGTGCATGGGGGCCCTGCAGGTTGCCTTGCCCTGTGTAGGGCCTTCTGTGGGTAGTTTTGTGTTTCAGGTGGGAACGTGAATCAAGAGATTTTGTACTTTTTGTACATTGGGTGTAACAATGGATCTTTGAAGTAAAAGCTAAATTGTGAGCTTTAAGTATTTAGCGGTGTTTAAAGTTCAAAGCTCTTTGCATGTTATACTGACTAGGTGTCTTTTAAAAAGAAGTTCCTGCTTTGCACACCGAATTGTGACACCAAGTATGTTTTGTTGTGGAAAACAGTTTTCTAATGGTTTCAGTGGACCCTAAGTTAAGACTTTTAACAAATAGTTTGCCTTTTCTGATTTGCCGTGCATATATGCACAAGTACCTGCATCAAAAAGGTTTTCTTTTTCTTTAAACAGGAAGGAGGTAGATGGTGAAATTGTGGTGCTAAAGGCAATGTACCACTTTTCTTGAGTGTCTGTGTAGGGAATGTTATGTGCTTATCTCTGAGGGCTAATAGATCTTTTTTTTTTTTTAATCCTGTTAGGAGCTGACAGAAGAAGCAAAGGAAGGCGCCTTCTCTAATTTTCCTCTCTCCCAAAACACTGTCAACCTTCTCACAGGTTAGTTAACGGGGCAAAAGCTATTTCTGTGAATGTTTGCTTAGAATTGCACTCTGTTACCTGCATAAGTAGAAGCCCAAGGGTAGATTATTCTAAATCATCTTACATTTATTGTGTGGTAAGAATATGCATATGAGCAGTCACTGTAGACTGAAAAAATCTACTGGTTTTAGTAGGCAAAAAGTTTCTGTTTTGTTCATTTTGAAGTGCCCTAAGGTGAATTTCTTATTCTGTGCAGTGATTATTCCTTGATCTACATTTTAGAGACAGGGTTTCTTTTCTTGTCAGCATCATTCCACTTACTGTGTATCTTTACTTCTCTTCCTATGTCTGCTCTCTAAAATATTGCTTCTTAAATAAGCTTAATGGAGTTTTGTGTGCGAAGACTATTTGCCTCCTGTGAATGGGTTGTCTGTGATTATTCTCATACTTTTGGGCATTTTCATCTCTCTTCTCAATTAGTTTTGTAATTGCTGTAGGCTTCTTGTCCTCTGTGTTGGGAAGCTGTGCAATTCTTGTTCCTCAGACAAAAATTCTCCGTGTTCCTTTACGTTTTCCTTGCTCGAAAGTTTCTCCTAGATATATTGTTTCATTTCCACTGTGCAAAATCTCTCTGAAGTTTTGGAATGTTTTAGAACAAACGCCCTCACCTACTCCCCACCTTCAAAACTGAGCTACCACAAAATCTTGGGCTGTATCAGACAAAATGTGTTGGGTTTAGTTTCCTTTCTCTCCTGTTGTCTTATACCACATATCCCAAAGAAGGCTGTATTTCATTGTGGATACTCAGCTCTGTGTTTGGAAGTGGAATACCTTTTGGTCTAGAGCAGGAATAAAATATAAAGATACGTGTTTTTTTCTAGGTCGTGTCTCCTGTTGTGTACAGAATTTGACATGATGTGCCCTGTATTTTGGGCTGTTTATGAGGGCTTCTAATTGTTTGTTCAGCTTTTAGTGAAACCTGTTTCAATTATCTTGCAGCTCGAGGTGTAAAATACCTGTTCCCTGTGCAAGCGAAGACTTTCCAGTCCATATATGATGGCAAAGACCTCATTGCTCAAGCTCGAACGGGAACCGGGAAAACCCTTTCCTTTGCTCTTCCACTGATTGAAAAACTCCAGAGTGTCTCACAGGATGGGAGAAGAGGCCGTGCACCCAAAGTAACTTACCACCTAAGGGTTAACTCCAAAACCTAAGAGCATGGCAGGTTTTGAAAGCAGTTTTACTATTGCTTTGGGGATTTCTGCCTCAATTCACTGAGGTGGTTTCTCACTATAAATTCCATGGTGATGATGGAAGGCTTTTGGGGTTTCCTCCTCTCTTCCCCCCACGTGTGGAGACTCAACAGATGCAATTCCAGAGATGGAATTGGTAACCAGGTGCCAGTGATCAGATATCCTATTCCCGTGCAAATGCAGTGTATCGTTAGACTGCAGAAATGGTAATAGTGGGCAGACTTGTCCCTTCTTTCATCCTTCTGTTTTATTAACTTCAAAGGCAGTGTAAATTTTAAATTCTTATTTTCTGAAGGATTTAAAGAGAGAAAATCAGCACTTTATGAGTTCATTCTTAAAATGCTGGGGGAAGGGTAAATACCTGAGGAAGGCAGGCAGGTGGGGAGGACGGATACATGGCTAGAGTGCATCATGCTGTGTATCTGTTGAAATCTTACTAGTCCAGATTTAGTAACTGCTCTTACCCCTTAATGCTGAGCTGCACCTTCATTGCCCTTGGTAGTGTTACTAAAGTGTCTTATCTGGCTCTAACTTAAGAAGAAAAAGTATTGCTGTTCTACATCTCAGTTATCTTGCAATGCTTTGCCTCATTTCCTCTTATTGCCTCTGAGGCTGTCTTGGCAGGCTCCAGGATGCAGGGAATATTGCCGGGATGGTGGGAAGCTGTGGGCACCTCTGCAACAAGTGTAGAATAAAAGTGGTAGTACAAGCTGTTTGACATGAAGTAAACCCTTTTTTCATCCTACACCCTCTCCCAAGTACAGCTACATTTTTGTCTCTTTTTCACTCCCTGCAGGTGCTGGTTCTTGTTCCAACCAGGGAACTGGCTACTCAGGTAGCCAAAGACTTCAAGAATCTCACAAGGAAACTGTCAGTTGCTTGTTTTTATGGAGGAACTCCATATAAAGAACAGCGTGAGTAACCTCTGTGGAATTACTGCTGGATTGGAGTCGACTTTCTCCAAATGCATTCCATGAATAAAACTCTGCGTTTTCCCTCTTTAGACTTTCACCTCAGTCAGGAACTCAAGTGGCATTGCTTTCAAAGGAAGCACAAGTGTTGCTGTGTACTGCTGACTTTTTACCATGTTGTCTTTTAGCAGTCTGACACTGTCCTTGTTTTCCTGTCTTCCAGTTGATCTCCTTAGAAGTGGCATTGATATTCTGGTGGGAACTCCTGGGCGGATCAAAGACCACGTCCAGAATAGCAAGCTGGAACTTTCTAGCGTGAAGCATGTTGTTTTGGATGAAGTAGATCACATGTTAGACATGGGCTTTGCTGAACAAGTGGAAGAAATCTTAGGATTTGCTTATAAAAAAGGTAAATTCTGAGATCAGGAGAGGGGACAATGTAGAAAACACAGTTATGCTACTTTAAAAAACTGCTGTTGCACCCCCAACTCGAATTCTTTGTGTGATGCTAGTATCAGTCCTCAGAAAAGGGCAAGGTAGAATTGGAAAAGGTTCAAAGCAAGGTGACAGATGGCTGAAGTCTTTGCCTTTGCTGACTAAAGGATACTTAAAATATTTTCATTGCTTTTAAGTTTTCTTGTTACTGACTTAGTGCACATAGAAACCTGTCCATTTGATAACAACTTTTCTGTCAGTTCTCGAGTGTCAGAATCTGTGTCTGAAATCGATGGTGTTTCCTTCCAGGCTCTGAGAACAACCCTCAGACACTGCTGTTTTCTGCGACTTGTCCGCGGTGGGTTTATGATGTAGCAAAAAAGTACATGAAAGATGAGTATGAACAGATTGACCTGATTGGAAAGAAGACCCAAAGGACAGCCACAACTGTGGAGGTGGGTGATTGTGCTGCAGAGCAGTGCAGGTCCTGAGAGCAAGTGGCCTCAATGAAACGGGTTGTGCATTGACTTTACAAATGCGGGTGTGGAATGACTTTTCACGTGATTGACATACAGATTTTGTAAGCAAAGCTTTCATGGGGGGGCAGTAGTGTTTGCAAGCTTAACAAAATGTTTTCTTGGTTCCTGTGCATGACTGAGATTTAACACAGGCGGTGGTCACGTTTCCTTCCCAAACAGCACTTGGCAATCCAGTGCCGCTCCTCTCAGAGAGCAGGAGTTCTTGGGGACATCATCCAGGTCTACAGTGGCAGCCGTGGGCGGACCATTGTCTTCTGTGAGACCAAGAAGGAGGCAAATGAGCTGGCCATGAATGCCTCACTCAAACAGGTACTGAACGGGGAGCAGGGGTTCAGATGTTCAGGGGTTGGATGCCCTGAAATAAATAGGAGGTTGAACTGTGTGGATGAGTTGTTTCTGTGGGTGGTGGTTTTAAGACTTATAAAGCTGTTTCTAAAGGTAGAGCTTTGCAGTTAAAATATTCTCTTGGCTGTGATTATGAAATTATTCCTTTGGCTTTAAAATCATATAGGACACAATCAATAGGAAATATGCAGCTTATGCCGAATAAGCTGGAGACAGTTGTAATAAACAGAAACTAGTGTAGTGCACAGATCCCATCCCATTAGTGTGCTTTCTGGATTCCCATATCTTAATGGCATTTATTCTTTGAACAGTCATTAGGAAAATCCACCTAAAATGGTAGAATGGAATGTCTTGTTGCCCTTGGAAGGTCCATCAATAGTTTGTTCAGAACCCAGGTGTATTGAGCGGGTCTTCTATTCTTGCTTTTTTTAAGTGTGGGGGAAAGTGCTGCATATTTTTCAGAGAAAATCCCATTAGATACTTAATACTGATTTATGGAGAAAGAGCAGTGGTGGGAATACATGATTTACCCCATATTAGATGATTGTCACATACCATCCACGTTAAAAACTTGCAGCAACAATTTTTGCCTGTTGGCCCTGCTGCTTGCACAGTAAATCCAATCACTTTGTTCTTGGGTCAGTGTGTGACATGTTTTTCTCTTACACTGGTGAGTTCTGCTTTAGCATGCTACTCAGTTGAATTCGGAGCTTGTTGCTCTTCCCTTTCTCCTTGTTAAACTTCAGTCTGTTTCCTCTGCCATTAAAAGTGGAGGCTGTTCAGATCACCTGTAGGGTTTGGGAACACCCTGAAAAGTTCACTTAAGTTTCTGCGGGTTTTGGGATGGCTTCCCAGAGAAAGGATGTCATGAATGAGTGTTTTAGGTGGCTTGAAGCATCACTGGCAAAAGCAAGTTTGATATTGAAGTGAAAGTGTGACAAAGTTCATTGGCTTGATAGGGTTCACTCTGCAACCTAGTGGATGGTTAAAGCACACAGAGAAAAATAGGACTAAAATCAATCCATCTGAAATGAAGAGAAGCTAAAAATTATCTGTGTGGAGGTTAGGGGTGAAAAAAAGGGTAAGGATAAATAGGATTAAGGGAGACACTCTCCTTGAGTCACAAGGTTCAGAGTGGACCCCTTTGCCAAACAGCCCTGAAGGTGACCAGTGGTTTAGGCCTAAAGGTTTTAACAGCACTTAAACAATAGCTTAATTTAAACAGTTTAACAAAAGATTCACACAGAGTTTATTACAGCTCAACAGTAACTCACTCATAGGCCTAACTTGCTTATGAATTGAACGTGCTTAAGGAGTTCCCCCCGAATTCAGTGGAGCAGGTCCAATGCCTTTTCATCTTCTCAACATGTGAAGGCCTGGGCCTTGAGAAGGGGGTGTCAGCACAGGATCCAGCATTTGGTGCTGCTCCTCCAAGAATAGCAAACTTGAGGGTCACAAGAGAGATGGGTTTAGTCATAGTTCTTTTCCATCCTGGCTGCAATTCAGGTCAATAATAACGAAAATGTTGTTCCACTTGAGTTGTGTTGCAGGCGAGAAAAATAAAGTTTCCAAGGCTGTTCATTACAAAGCAGGAGCTCATTAGGCAGTACAAGTTCCTGGGAGCAGACAGTGTTTCTGATGAGCTCTGGAAGAGCTCAGCCCAGCTGCTGTTCATCAAGGCTGAGGCCTAATTAGCATCTCTGCGGTCACAGTGCTGCCTGAGGAGGGAGCACCTCCACAAGAGAGAGAGGTCTCTCGCTACCTCTTGACAAGCATTGCTTTAGTAACATTGCTTCCATTTGTTCCCATGGAAGTAAAAGGTGAGGTTGGGCCTCCTTGGCATGTCATACTGAAAAATTAGGAGTGTTATTGTTCCAGAGAAAGATCAAGCCACAAAGTAGGATACTTTATATTCTTTTGGTATCAACTCTGTAATTATGTTGTGTTGCTCTGCACCGTGTTTTGGGGTTTGTAATTAAATGTGTGTAGATAATATGGCCTAGACTCCCCCTCTAAATGCTTGTGAATGGTTTGTTACACTGACAGGATGCCCAGTCCTTGCATGGAGACATTCCACAGCAACAGAGAGAAGTTACATTAAAAGGCTTCAGAACTGGTGTGTTTGAAGTTCTGATTGCAACAAATGTAGCTGCCCGTGGTTTGGATATTCCTGAGGTTGACCTTGTTATACAGTGCTCACCACCAAAAGTAAGTGATTAAGGGAAACTAAAATTGTTGAGGGTTTTTTGTGGTGCCACAATGGTGGGTTATTTTTCTGTTTCACCAGACATATGTTCCAGTTCACAAATGAAGTGGATTTTTCTGTAAATGCCAGACCTAAAATTTCCTTGTTAAACTTTGTGATTTTGAGCTTTGATTAAATTAAAAGTGTTGGGTTTTGTTTACTCTGGAAAGTTGTAAGGCAGGTTTTGACATTGTTTCAGCTTTTCTGAATGCCTTCTGAGTGTGGTTGAGTTCCATTGCAATTCTAAAATTCTCCTGCTGTCTTTTTCTTCTTCTAAAACTCCAATGAAGCTTTTTATTTAAAAAAAATAAAAATGTATGTCACTAGTGTTTGTTAAAGCTGAGCAGCATACTTGGGTGGGGCAACGTACCCAAACCTAGGTGGTTTATGTGTAGTTACCAGTTTGGGTGTAAACACAGAATGCATCACTCCTTAGGCTTCTGAATTAGAACTTAGCTTGCATTTAATCTGAAATGTCAGCAGTTGAATGACATTAGATTTTCTCCTGTTGATCTGAATTTCTGAAGGATGTTGATTCCTACATCCACCGTTCCGGGCGGACGGGCCGCGCTGGCCGGACCGGGATCTGCATTTGTTTGTTTCAGAGAAGAGAAGAAGATCTTCTGAAACAAGTCGAGCACAAAGCGGTGAGTTCTGCCTCAAACCTCTGCTTAATGAAATTATTCAGCTCCTACAAGGATCCGGCCACTCTTAGACTCTGTAACCATGGGCTGCTTGTGAGTCCAGTATGGCACTCATGTCCCATGGCCTGGTAGGCCTCAAATGTTGCTATTTGGTGTTTGTAAACGCTTTTGTATCAACGTGTTCTTGTGTCTCAGGAGTTTTTGGATGTTGGCAGTCCTCTGTGGATGTCAGCAGGCAGGCTGGGAATGCATGAGGGAGGAGACCATGCCTTGCATTACAGTTTGCATGTACAGTTTGCATGTACATTGGAGTAAAGTAGCTCCAGATAAACAAAGCCAGGAATTTAAAAGCTTTATTTTACCTTTGGAAATAACTTAAATAGAGAGTATATTGATCTCCTAGACAGTAAGTAGAGGTCTCAGTAATGTGACTTAGGTAGGATTGAATTGTAGAGTGCTGAAAATACCTTTAACTGTAATTTGTTTTCTTGATTTCAGGGGATTACATTTAAGCGTGTGGGCGTTCCCTCTGCTACAGATGTAATTAAAGCTTCAACTAATGATGCCAAAAAGTAAGTTTATTTGCCTGTTCTTAGAAAAGGTCTAAAGATGTTCCTCTAGATACTGTTAATGCAAAGCCTTAAGGGATCAGAGCTGTATGTGGGCATACCCATACAGGCTTTGTCTGTGTTGTTGAAGTCAACTGCTTTGTGAGTAGACATCCTAAGATGGTCTCAGTAAACCTCTGTGTGCTGAACATAGACCTTTTCATAGAACATAATGTTCTCTAAGTTCTTGCAAAAATTAACCTTTGTTTGTATCATCAGAAACCAGTAATAGATCAGGAAATTACTGTCATGAGGGGAAACTGATTTTGTCTGCTCAGATGATACAGTAGCAGCGTGTTAAGAGCAATACCTGGTGTGACCAGGAGTTACTCTGCAGTAGTGAGGGTGTTTTAGCCCTGTCCTGTGTTTCTTTGTGTTGTTTTATTCCCAAGGGTTGTGTTTTTTATATTCCATGCATTTCTGTTTATATTTGCTGCCCCATTGGTCAAAATTACATTGAAGCAGATTAAAATAATTAGTGAGGATTTGACCAGTGCAAAGCAGATGATGGGCGTGGTGTTGGGTGCACTGTACTGAGAAAGGGTGGGAGGTGCCAGGGTACCCAAAGGAGCATTACAGAAGTAGCCGTTCTTAGTTCCCATCTTTTTTTTTTGCTTGCCTTTCCCAGAAATAACCAATTTAGGCGATGCCTTAAACACGACTGCACTTCACACTGGCATTTTCTGATCTCTTCAACTTTTGTTGTCACCATGTAGGTTGCTGGAGGCCATTCCTGCTTCTGCAGTCGACTACTTCAGAAAATCTGCTGAAGAACTCATAGAGGAGAAGGGAGCAGTGGCTGCCCTGGCTGCAGCCCTGGCCCATATTTCAGGGGCAGCTTACATCCAGCAGCGCTCCTTGCTCAACTCCACGCCTGTGAGTGACTGTGCCCCATGGTTAAGGGGAATGGATGTGTGAACTGCTTGTGTCCAGTCCATGTGTGGCACCTTCTTCCCAGGCATTTTCAGTAGGGTTTCTGAAGAGCTGGCACCCCCAAGCTCCTGATTTTTTTTGCTTGTTACTTAATTGAAATCAGCTCTTACTGGGAGGAACTCGTAATCTGTAAATTTCCTTGTGATGAAAGTTAAAAGAATTTCTCCAGAGGCTGACGTGGCAGAAGACTGATGTTCTAAGAGAGTTTAACTAATGACATTTTACAAGCAAACAAATTGATTTGTGCTATTGTAGTTTTCCCTTATCAGGAATCTTTTTACATTTTTGTAGTATTTCAAGTATAGCATGTGATTACCTGATCTCAAAGACATCTTTAACTGAAGAAAAGTACAGCCCTTCCTTTTTCTAATGCGTTCAGGGAGAACGTTGCCCACTTCGTTGTGTGGTAGCACAGTTCTGGACATAACATGGTTCTCATATCAGTTTGGGGGTTTTTTACCTGTTTTCTAGCAGTAAGTTTATGTATTGAATAAATGTATCTCTTCTTCTGGCTAAAATGCAGAAATGCTATTAGCCTTCATATCAATGGGCAATCCTAGGTTAGATGGATGCCTTCAGCTTCTTAGGGGGCTTTTGGTTGCTTCACTTTTGGGAAGCTGATTGCTTAGGATAAAATACTGCATAACAAGTTGTTATGTAGTTCATTAGTGATCTACAGGCTATTTGACCCTGTTTAGTCTTGTGAAACGTTTTTCTGTGTCTCCTGCAGGGCTTTGTGACCATGGTGTTGAAGTGTTCCATAGAGATGCACACCATGGGCTATGCCTGGCGGGGGCTCAAAGAACAGCTTGGGGAGGAAGTGGATGACAAAGTGTCTGCAATGCGTTTCCTCAAGGGGAAGATGGTGAGATGGCTCAGCCCTGGGAAGGAGGGATGTGGAGTGGGGTGTGTGTGTGTGTGTGTGTGTGTACACATATGGCCAGTTGGTCCAGTGATGGAGGCAGGAGTTCCAAAATACTGGTATAAAAATTTGGTACCTCGTGGTGCCATGTGAGGCCTGTCTTACTTTTAAACAGGCAGGCTGATGGCAGGCAATGCTGCTGTCAGCACAGAGCATTTGAATCTGCATTTTGTTTTGAGCTTTTCTGTTTTAATTCTCTTCAGTTTATGAAAAGCTTCCCCCAAAAGACCATGCTTTCTGCCACTCCTGGTTTCTACATGTATGAGTGGTTGCAGGTGCTGCCTTTCTGCAGCTGTGTGTCTCTCTCCTTGGATGTATCTTTGGAAAGCACATGCCTCTTTTTTTTTTTCCCTCTTATAGGGAGTCTGCTTTGATATCCCTGTTGATGAACTGAGTAACATACAGGTATGTTTGTGTAGCCAGAGTTGGCTTTAAAACTTGATAATTTGAAATTTGGCAACTGCCATATATAGGGTTGAATATAGGGTGGTTTGGGAGGTTAAGGTTTGTGTTTTAATAAGGACGTTGCATAGACAACAGGGTGATTAGAAAGAGCACAGCACAGTCATTAGAAAATACTCTGTCATGGCTCTTTCTCATTTGTGTTTTCATGATATTACCTGATTTTACTAAACAAAATCTTATGGTCTTTGTCTACTCTGGGTTTTGACCTCTCCAATGAATTTGAGAGTTCCCCAGTTTTCTGTTGACTTCACTCTGTCTTGTCCCTTGTGAGGGTTTATCCTTTGTCACAGGAGTGTGGGTGTTTGCTGGGGGGAATCTGATGACCTATTTTGGCAGGGATGGGATTTGTCTGGAAATGCCTGTGCATTCAGTGGGATTTGTCTGGAAATGCCTGTGCATTCAGTGTTGTTTTTAACGATACAGGTACCTTGGACACTCCTGCAGGCACATAAAGTCTTGTTACATTGATCTTGTTTCAGGAACAGTGGAAGGACACCAGGCGCTGGCAGCTGTCGGTGGCAAAGGAGTTGCCTGAACTGGAAGAGTATCCCCAGGAGGCAGGACGAGGGTTCTCAAAGTTTGGAAATGGAAGGCAAGGCAACTTCAAGAGGAACAGCTGGTTCAAGAGTGGGAACCGAGGACTTTAACAGAACACTCGATTAACCTCCAGTACAGACATGGGACTGAGCTGAATTTTATCAAACAGTAAAAGCCTGTTAGACGCTCCTCTTTGTCTTTATTCCTTGATAAAGCAGCCCGTCTTTGAGGATGACTAAAAACCGTGTTTGCTGAGATAACTGGGTGTTTTGGGAGATTTTTCTTCCTGCCCAGCAAAGCAGCTGCTGTCCGTAAGGGCATTCCTGTCCCGGGGTGGTGAGTGTGCCTGGAAACTTGGCTCTGTGGGGAACAGCACTTATCCAAACACGGACAGCCACCAAACCTCGCCCGTTCAGCAGCCCTTGCATTAAGAAATCTGGTTCTAAAATTTTTTTCAGAAAAATCTGACATCAACCTCTCAGCACCCTTCCTCCAGAGCATCCCATGGATGTCGGGGCTCCGGTTTCCTTTGGGGTGCTTCCGCTTGCCAGCTCCTGTACCACCTGTCACAGACTGAGGGGGGGAATCCCAAAGGGTTGGAAAGATGGGGGCCTGCTGAGGAGGCACTGGATGGCGGCGGGGCAGGTCGGGATCGCTCTGCTGAGGGGGCACTGGATGGCGGCAGGGCAGGATCAGGATCGGGATGGCCCCGCTGAAGGGGTGCTGGATGGCGGCGGGGCAGGATCAGGATCGGGATGGCCCCGCTGAGGGGGTGCTGGATGGCGGTGGGTCGGGATCGGGATGGCCCCTATGAGGGGGCGCTGCGGAGCGGCGGGGCGGGGTCGGGATCGGGACGGCCCCGCTGAGGGGGCGTTGGATGACGGCGGGGCGGGGTCAGGATCGGGACGGCCCCGCTGAGGGGGCGTTGGGTGACGGCGGGGCGGGATCGGGGCGGCCGCGCGGGGCGGGGCGGCGGCGCGGGAAGATGGCGGCGGGCGGCGGGTGGCCCGCGGTGTGCGAGAAGTTCCGCGCCGCCCGCACGCTCTCGGCCGTGGAGTCGCTGAAGGACCCCGAGACGGAGCCGTACCGCTCCAAGTACAGCGCCCGGGCGCTGCTGCAGGAGGTGAAGCAGCTGCTGAGCGCCGCCGAGGAGGGCGGCGAGGCGCAGGTGCTGGCCGTGCGGCGGGCCGTGCTGGAGTACGAGCTGGGCGTCAACCACACCGACACCGAGGAGCTGTCGGCCGGCGAGGAGCACCTGCAGCGCTGCACGCAGCTCCTGGAGCCGCACCGCCTGTCCCCGGACTGCGTGTCCCTCTACATCCAGGCCCAGGTGGGCGGGGGAGGCCGCGGGGAGGGGGGAGGTACCCCCGTGTCCTGACAGGCACTGCCTGGGTAACCATCATAAACACGGCCCCGGCCGTCAGTTCCTGCCGGAAGAAATCATTCCCGGGGGCTGGCTGTGGAGGGGGTTTCTGTTTTAAGCCTTCTGCTGATGCCTCTGGGCGTGCAGGGCATCTAAAGTGTGTTCTCGCAATGGAAATCGTGTGTTGACAAAGCAGCGTGTTCCTCGGGACAGACTGAGACAGAACTGGTAAGAGCTGGGCAGGAATAAATTAGTAGAAGACCTCAGTATATCCAGAATTTGTGGTTCCTTAACTCGTTTGTCGTCAAAGTGAAGTTGGGAGATGCTTTTATTGATGTGTAAATAGTAAATTGTTTGCTTTTCAGCCTCATCTGTTCTCTTTTAAGCTATTAAATTTTGTCCCGGATGAGTAAATACAGTTTTGTTGGGGATCGAAGTAATAATATTCATGTCTTTATTCTGAAGAAAATAATACTCTTATCAAAATTAACTCTTGCCACACGAAGATTCACAAAAGGGCCTTTGTGGACCCACTCTGTCATGGCAGCTGGTGTATAGTCAGGTGTCTGTCTCTAGACTGTAAATTAAATAGAGCAGTTATTTAGATGTCTCTGTCAAAAATGGTTGCTCCAGTTAGAAAAGGTTCAGTAGTGCTCCCTTATCAAACATTGCAATACTGTCAAGGAATTGTGTGCTGATGTGGAAAAGCTGCCAGTTAAACAGTGACTTGTCTTATGTCGGCTAAATTAGCGGAGTTGTCTGGAATTGTGAGGTTACATCTGCTCGTCCTTCAGTGCACCACTATGAATCTGTTACTCATTGTAAGGTAGAGATTGCTGGAGACAAAACCAGATAATATCTTCCCACATGTTCCTGGTGGCTCTTGTGGCTGAGGGCCAGGGATTCCACTGTGCTTCTGAATGGTGTGTTGGAAAGCAGCTCTTGTCTCTGTCAGGCAAAAGTTTGCACGGACATTACTGTTTTGGGGCCTTTAGGGAACAGCAGGATGAAGTTTGTTGTGCAAAATTGCCATCAGTGGCCGTACTTCTCCAGATCCTGGGAGTCTAGAGTGTGCTGCCACAGCACTGACTGCTATTTTGAAAGAAGAGCATTCCTGTTTCTGCTTCTGATTTTCTGAGCTTCGTCTCAAGATTGTGTATCACACTTTCTGTCTAATGGAATTTGGTCTGTTCCACTGCTTGGCCTAAGGCAAAGTATTTCAGTTCATAAACAACATGTGATGTGCTTTCTTATAAAAATAACAAAATGAACGGAACCAATAGGGGCACTAGGCTGGCATACAATTACATATTCTAACTATTTTGAAGGTTTGGGGTTTTTTTTTTAGCCCTCTTGGATTTTGTAACAGCGCTGCCTAGGACTTAAATTAGCACATCAGAAATAGATTGTTATTAACACCTTCATCTTATTAATAAAATTAGAGGTAGTTTTTATAAAAGGTGGGTTCACAGATGCAACTTGCTATGTACATTGCTTTAACTTAAATTTGAAGGCAGTAGTCAATAGCTTTTGCATCTTAAAGGCACTTTTCATCTCTTTCTGTTGTTGAAAATTTACAAGCATTCATTCCCAGCATGTCTTTTTCCTGTTAACTTTTTCAATGGAGTCGTGGTAAAAATTTCTAATGTCTTGTCTCTTTTTCTGACATATGTATGTGATGTAAAAGCTGCATGAATTGGATGCGGAATGTGCTTGGAAAAAGCTCATTTTTTGGACACACCAATCCTTACCTGGCAGAATAAACACAGAAAGTTACAGTCAGAGAGGTGAATTTTGTGTGTGAAGTTTGCTGTGTGAGAACCCCTTCTTTTTTGAGCAATTCACAGTGAAGTGGATGGGAACCATTTTTGCTTTTTGAAATTCATTGTATTCGAACACAAATATATGATGAAGACTGAATTGTTTGGAGAAACTGTGTAATGTAAATGGAACACAATGGAAAAATAACTGGTTTTTTTTTTCTTTTACCTTTAGAACAACCTGGGTATCCTGTGGTCTCGAAGGGATGAAATTGAAACTGCACAAACTTACTTGGAATCTGCAGAAGCCTTGTATAACCAATACATGAAAGAGGTACTGTGTTAGCACTGTGGCAGGTCTTACTTTCACTGAAACTGCCACTTGCAGTTCAAGTAATCTTTGAAATAACCATATAATGGAAATTGAGTTTCTGCCCTTTATCCTGGCTGCTGTGGTACCTTTGGCAAGTGACAGGAGTTGTCCTGCTGTATAGGACAAGGCAAACCAGGGCATTACTTGCTGATTTCAAAGTGGAAAATAAGTTTGCTCAAAAATAATGGTCCCTTTTGAAAGCCCTTTAGTAATCCAAAGTTGAAGCCAGGTAGAATCTGGATTTTAAAGAGGACTATTATTAAATCTTATCTTGGAAGTGATGTACAGTGTCAGTCCATTGCTTTCAGTGGGAAGAGGAAGCAAAACTGTAATATTTGGATGGTTTTCTCTGACTGTGCAGTGTTTTGTAGAGGCAAGTAGTTTAGTTCCATATCCAAGAGGACAGTCTTACAAACAGCTAACCCTCTCATGCATATTAAACAACCTTTTGAGCTGTGGATTCCGCTGTGTATCTGACAAAGACTCCCTTGTGCTATTTTTAAGCTCTTTGCAAAGCTGTTTCTACACTGACTTGCCTCAGGGAAAGTTCTTGAGTGAGGTAAAAACATTTGTTGCCTTGAAGGAGCAGTAGCTGTGTCTCAGGACAGCTGTACACGTTGGACAGACCTTAGTTTCATAACATTGCAGTCCAGGTTTTACATGAAGTTGGTTTATAACACAGATGATTCCCATGGAGATCTTTAGAATGGGTTAGTCTTTATTGGTTGGTTACTGCTCTGTTTCCACTGTAGGCCAGCTGTGCTGGCCTACAGTGATTGGAAATGGATCCAGAAAAAAAACCCACTGAAAAACTTCTCAATTTATTTTCTGCCTTGTGGTTCAGTAGAGACACTACATTTCTCTGCAGACCCTCTCTCTAATTAATTCCTGATGATCAACTTTGATATTTATACCCAGCCCTGGCTGTAAATATCATGTGCTTTCACATCACCTCTGAAAGTTTCTGGCATTTGTTCCAGTGATTATGAAATTGGACTGGTACTACCATGGAGTGGGTTAAACAGTGTTGCCAAGTACTTCACATTTTCACTGTGGACTTTTCTGAAACCTGGTTTTTGTTAGTAGTGGCTACTGATATTCCTTCTGTGGCTTTGCTGCCATACATATCTGACTGTTAATAAGCCCATGCCAGATCACTTCCACAGTTTTTCCCCAACATTTTTTTTATTTGCCACTTACAGTTCAAGGCATTGTGTAGCTATACCAAAAGACTTTCTTTTAAAAGAAACTACAGCAAAATAATGTTTCTGTGGTGACTTTATCGGACTTGCGTCATGTTTCTCTGAAAATACTGACTGTACCTGAGATAATCTGCAAAGAATTAATAACTCTCACAACAAATCCAAACCACAGGGCATGGAGGAGCTTGTCTGACTGCTTTACGGTTTATAAAGAGGACTTGAGTTCTTTGCAGTGGTGTTTGATCCTTAGGATTTATACAGCCATTTGTCTTTCACAAATTATAAAAACATGAATATACTTTTCTTAACAGTCCCATTTTTAGGCTGTCAGGAATCCTTCCTGTCAGGGAGCCTTTGGTAAACTGTTGATGACTGAGACATTTTCCTGAGCTTACAAATTGAGTAGGGTGGTTTCCCCCCACTTAAGCAAAACCAAGGCAAGGAGCTTGGGCTAATGAAGTCCACCTAGAAAGGAGAATTGCAGAGCTCTTCCTGAGGATAAGTAAAGGCATAAGGCTTGACACCAGAGGATAAATCTGTAGATGCAGGAAGGAGGCAAGGGTGTTACTTACCATGTCATTTCAGTTGCTTTATTGGCAGGAATAGCTCTAATCTTGCCAGAATATGCTCCAGATCTTGTTAGAAGGTTTGGGAGCCTTTGTATCTAAGGAAAACGAGATGGAGGGTTAAAAACTCACATCTTAAAAACTAATGAGGTATAAACAGGAAAACCTAAAGATTAAAAGATCATATGCAAAAATCTGCACACCTCATGTAGGTTAAACACACTTTAATTTGTCACTATCTGTTTCAGATGCATTTTTTCATTTTTTAAGATGAATAGACCACTTCTATTAAAAGCAAACAAACAGATCCATTCAGGGATTTTTGATGAGAAGCAGCTCAAACATAAGAATATCTTTTCTTCCCTGTAGAGTGCATTCTCTGCCCTTGCTCCTGTTCCTGCCTGAGTCTGTATTATCTTATGCAAAGTATTTATCTAAACTGCTTTTTATTTGTTGCCTTACTTTCTCTTGGGCTAAGAAATAGATGAGGTCAGGAAAGGGCTGGACAAGCTGCATACTGAGACATTGCCTGTTGTCTCACTGGTGTATGTGAGTAAATCACCAGCATGTGTGTATTTGGAGTCCCTTCAGAGCAGTTGATGTTTCCAGCAGCTCTGCTGAGCACTCTGCACAGCGTGTTCTCTGCAGTACTTCCTGCAGGATGTTTTCTTGCTACTGATTAGTGCAGCTGTGCAAACGAATATTTCACACTTGAAGACATGCCTGGTGTTAAATTGGTGCCTCAAACCCTGTACAAAATAAAGATGCCCAGTTACAGTCCTGTGCAACCCAGGCGGAGTATTTCGGGTGCAGGCAGCAAGCACTGTGTTCAAGGATGTAAGCAGAAGTCTTTTACAAGCTGAAAACCTTATCATTCCATGTGGAACTCTGGCCTTTGTGCTCTAAATCTCCTGAGCTTTGTAGAATTGCTCTGCAGACGTGGCATTGAGGTGTAGGTGCATTAAATGAAGCTGGGATTGGAATTTGGGATTGCAAAATGGTAAATGATGTGCAACCAGGAGAGGGAGCACTGTGCTGCAGAGAAAGAAATGTAGTTTGCTGAATGTGTCATGTACCCTTGCAGGATGGAAATCCTCCCCTGGATCCCAGTGAACATTTCATGGCAGAAGAAGAAAAACTTACTGATCAAGAAAGATCCAAAAGGTGGGTGTGGAGCAGCATACCTACGTTATTATTACTTTTTTTTTTAACTATAAGGGTGTATTTAGGGAGGGGGAAAAAAAAGGCAGTCTAAAGAGACTGTTGTGTTTTTCCAGATTTGAAAAAGCCTACACACATACTCTGTATTACCTGGCACAAGTCTACCAGCACCTGGACATGATTGAGAAGGCTGCTCAGTACTGCCACACCACTCTGAAACGCCAGCTGGAGTACTGTGGCTACTACCCAGTGGAATGGGCTCGCAATGCTGCTACTTTGTCACAGTACTATCTCTCCAAGGTCAGGCATCCAGTGTTTATCAGCTGTAATTGTATCACCAGTGTAACTGTCAAGTAAGACAATTGTTTTAAACAGCTGTTTGAGACAGGGCTCCATGCTGAATTTAAAGTGTGCACCTATAAAACCACAAGTTGCCTTCTGACATGAAGCATCTCTCAGTTTTTTTGAGGAGGACGTAGTGGCTTTCCTGTGGTGTTGTGACGGCAATGGGGAAAATGAGCAGGGGTGTAGACATGAGAGAAGCTCTGTAGTTAATGAAGTGTTAGCAATGATGTGATGTTCGTAAGTAAAACTTGAAGGTTATAATAATTTAATTTAAAACTCTTTCTTACATTGTTCTCTTACAATAAAGTTTAAAAACAAAACCATCTGAGGGCCAAGGTATGGCACGCTGTATGTTTCCTCTAAGTTAGTGTCCATTGTACCTTAACATGTGCTTTAGAATTGTCTGAGCCTATGTGAACATTAAAGTGAATATGTAAGTTGGCAGCTATTTGCCTTCACACACGTCTTGACTCTAAATGATCTACTGTTAAGAAATGCTTCAGGTTTATTTAGCAATTTCTATATTCAGGGCTATTCAGATGCTCTTTTCTGACGCTTAAAAAGTTTTCTGCCATACCTTAGCCAGTTAATGGTAATTTCAATAGTAACTAGTAATTTTCATGTGTTTTTGATGCATTGATAGCACTAATCATTAACCAGTGCACTGCCAAATATGGGTAAAGGAACCCAGATCTGACTCAGGGTGTTGACTTGTGTATCCGGCTGTTCCCACTAACAACCCGTGATGGTGTTTGCCAAAAGACATCACTTCCTTCACCGCAGGGAAGTGATGGTGGGGAGATCAGAGCAGAGAGAATGCTCACAGTGTACACAGCTAACGCTAACAGCCAGGCTTGCTGTGGCTGTGGGGCAGAGAGAACAGCTGGTTAGAAAATACTGCGTTCAGTAATAGTTGGGGAGGAATTGTGTGTTTTCTTCCAGTGCCCAGGGGAATGTGGTCCCGAGTCTCTCAGTTCTGTCATTTCATGTACGTTCACTGTCTGGGGGGGTTGGCCAGGCTGAGAGCAGTGCTCGGGCTGCTCAGTGCTGCTGGTTCTGTTTCTCCCAGGAATGCTTTATGGAGGCCCGGCACTGCCTGGCAGCAGCCAGTGTCATCTTCAGCCAAGCGGGACAGGTGCCGTCTGCTGAGGATGGTGAGTTGATGTAGAAGTCTTGAATAAAATTGTTGTGAATTAAGCATCATTGATACATAATGGTAAAACTGAAATTTAACAACATGCATAAAACTTATCCTGGTGTTAATTTTCTAAAATCTTTTTAATTAACAATAAAGTAGAATGCTGCTGAAAATCTGCTGGTACTACAGCTTAAGATTGGCTACGAGTAGACCCAGTGAGAAAACCTCAAGTGCTTGTTGCTGATGTTTCAGAAAGTACCAGAATAAACGTGAAATTTAAACCAATACCAACAACAGTGGGAGTGGCTCTTTTCGTTCATTTGGCCTTGTACATGTGCTGAAAATGCAGTTTAGCTCAGTGATCAGAGGGCAGAGATTGAATGAACCAAACCAGATGCTTCCTGGGAATAGTTTTAAAAGAGAGAGGAAAACTGCAGCTCTTAAAACCCCAAATCCAGAAGGCACTTGAATTGCCTTTTGTTGCTGGATGCTGCAGCCTCATTAATAGCTCTTTTTGGAGTTGTAGCTCCCCTCCTTGTTGCTTGGGCATTGATGCAAAGGAACAACTTGGCAGTTCAGTGTGAAGATCAGTAAAAGAAACTTTTTGAGAACTGACCTCAGTTTTAAGGACTTGTGGTTACATGATAGTGTCAGTGCTCTGTTTTAGGCTTAGTCTTTGCTTACCTACAGCACACCTTTTTGTGTCTGTGCCTCGGGCAACTGGAAGCTTCCAGTCCACAGAGCTTTAACTTGTGGGGAGTGAGCAAGTACAAATCAACTAAGTTTTATCTTGCCTTCCTCCTGCACCAAGTAGGAATCGTGATTTTCCCATTTGTTGTGGTGGAGTAAATGTTTATCCTACCTCCCCTTCCTTTTTGTGGTACAGAGAGCTGGGCTGTGGACTTGCAGGAAGTTCTAATTAGAAAGATCAATGCACAGTCAGCATTGGCCACTCTCAAGCACATTCATTTTATGATGTTAATTGGAATATAAAATAACACAGAGATATTTAGTAAATGTGTCTTTTCTACATTAGCAGTAATTCTTAATTCCTTAGGAACAGCATGATTGGCTCTGATGAAAGATAATGAACGCGGTGGGTCTGAGTCTGAACTGGCTTTTTTTTGGTGAACAGGAATGCTGCTGTCCCTGAGTAATGTCCTCTCATTGTTCAGCTAATTCACTGCCTTCTGCCTGGAGACTGGGAAATAAGCTTTCTTTGAAATCCATTTGGTTTTTGAAAATGTTATCTTGAGACATCAGAAGTGCTGCTGCTTATGATAGTGGGGAGACTGTGGAGAATGTTTGTACCGGGTAGATTAACCAAAGGCAGTTTCCCCTACTTTGTTCCCTTTTTTGTTATCAAGTCTAGGGCCCGTTGCAATACAAATGCCCTTATCCTCCTCAGTTACTGGGCAGGCAGCTGAATCTCAGAAAATGAATTATCCCGATTTCTTTCTCTTATTACAAAGAGACATGAAAATTTTTTCAGTGTAACACCTTCCAGATGAAAGATCTTTCTGAACATGCGTTATGATCTATTTAAGAATTCTTGCATGACGAATCCATGTTAATCTATAGGGGTTTCTACCAGAAATGATATTTTACAGAATTATTATCTAAACCAACATGAACAACAGGTTTCTGTCTAACCATGAGGAAAAATTAATTAAATATGAGTATCATATTCTTTGCTTGAAACATTTGAGGGACTTCTCTAAAAGTTTTTGTGTGTTTATGTCCATTCAGTAGATGAAACGGAGCAGGACCAACACGACCTGCCAGAGAGGAAAGCTGAAATTGCAAGATGCTGGATTAAGTATTGCCTGAATCTCCTGCAAAGCGCACGGAAATTACTTGAGGTAACAGCAAACTTGTTCTGTGGCTGTCATTGTCTAACAGCAAACTAAGCTTGCTTTGGTGTTTGCAGCAGGAATCAATTCACAGTAGATAACAAGCAATAATCAGTTGCCCAGTGAATGACACAACAGATGCTTGCAGTGTATCAAGTGTTCCATAGTGCAGCACTCAGGGATAAGCATGGATAGAACAGCCAGTGCAGTGCTTGTACATCAGCTTCACAAATTTCCCTTATCTCTGCTGCACTTCCTTGCAGCTTGATTTGACAGATCGCTTTTCATTAACTGCTAGTGAGAACATCATCTCAGTATGCACCAGTTTTGTGTGCTGGTGTTCTTATTCATTCAAGCATTTCATTCGTTCAGGTGTTTGTTTCATTCATTCAGACATTCCTTCAGATGTTTAAAACAGCGTTTGCTCAAATGCCTTGCAGAAGCAGAGCCTTTGGGCTTAATGTTTGTTGCTTTGGCTATTTTGTCACACAGGGTAGGGAGACTGAATCATATTAGCTTTATGTTTTTACAGAATCTATACTGTAATTGATTATTTTTGTGACTATAAGGTCTAATATGCCAGTAATAATTTCTCTTCTGTCTTGTTGCTCACTAGTTTATATCTCAAAGGTAACTCATAAATAAAATGATTCAGTGTCAGTCTCTCTTTGTGAGCTACATGCATTTCTAATTAGTATGCTTTCTCATTTCAGGATAACATAGGAGAGCTGGATCCAGACAGGCAGTTGGAACTCAAAGCCCAAAGGAAAAAAGAAGAGGATGAAAAAGAGAAGGGCAGGAAAAAAGCTGTCCTGTTTGGGACAAGTGATATATGTGACTCTGTCTTAGCCATGGAAGAGAAAGTGAGCAGTGTATATCCTTTAGATTTTCAGGAAGCCAGGGAAATCTTCCTAGTTGGTCAGAACTATGTTCAGGAAGCAAAAGAGTTCTTTCAGGTGGATGGTTATGTTACTGACCATATTGAAATTGTTCAGGATCACAGTGCTTTGTTTAAGGTCCTTGCTTTCTTTGAAGAAGACTATGAGAGGCGCTGCAAAATGCACAAGCGTAGGATAGACATGCTGGAGCCCATCTATGCAGACCTGAACCCCCAGTACTACCTGCTCATCTGCAGGCAGCTCCAGTGTGAGCTGGCTGACACCTACTATGAGATGATGGATTTAAAGGTAGCTATTGGTAACAGGTTAGAGAAACTAGACTCCCACACAGTTAAAAAGATTAATTCTCTGGCTCAGTTCGCAATCAAATATTACGAACTGTTCTTGGATTCTTTGAGGAACCCTGATAAGGTGTTTCCTGAAAAGCTCGAGGAAGATGTTCTTCGCCCTGCAATGGTGGCTAAATTTCATATTGCACGACTGTATGGTAAGCTTATTACTTCAGATAGCAAAAAGCAACTGGAAAATATGCAGACATCATTGGAATATTATACATTTCTGGTAGACTATTGTGAGAAGTACCCTGATGCTGCCCCTGCCGTTGAAACTGAACTAGAACTCAGTAAGGAGATGGTGACTCTGCTTCCAGCAAGCATGGAGAGGCTAAGAGCAAAGCTGTCTCCGTGTGTATAAATATTTGCCTTGGAGGAGATGGGCACTATTAAGATGGTTTTCTGTCCAAGCCAGTGCTGTCAGACAGCTCCCATCCTGATTGATAGAATAAGGTGTCTGCAGCGGTGTCCACCTAGAGCCTGCAGTAGTGTGACCTTGTGACAAACTCAGAGCTCTCCTTGTCCGTAGCTCACCCACACCAGTGGTATAAACTCTAAATGTAAAGTATAAGTCCAGCTAATGCTTTGTACTGTTCATCCTGTATGTAAATATGAACCTTTTCTCCCTGATGGCTTTTTCCTTCAGCGTATGGTTCAGTTTCTAAATGTAGTGCTGTATGATAATAGTTTCTT